CTTCAGGCTATTGGTAGTTTTTTAGCTTCATACACACATCAATTACCATTCCAATGTGAGTCTATATCAATGAAAATATATGAAATTGCTCATGAATTTCTCCAACAATCATTTGGTGACGTAATGGCAATCATGTTGATTGTAATGAAACACACATCAGAATCATTTCAATCAATCATAAAGACAGCGTTAGATAATGGAATTATGCATCAATTAGTTAGTATAATTTTGTATGACTCAGATAAATGTAAAGAGCGTGTGCTAAAAATGGTGCTAGTGTGGTGCAAGAAATGTGATTCATTGTGGCTGTCAATGAATTCTTTTGTACTGTCAATATTCAACTATTTACAAGAAGCTTCAAATGATATTCTTGTTGAATTGATATATTTCCTCAACAAGTTGTTCTTATTTGAACAATATTTACCATCGTATTTAAAGTTACTTAAAGAAAACGCTGATGCACTTCAATTTCTTGTTACTTGTATTCGCTCAAAATATCTGAAAATCAAAGAACTTTCTTTGGAACTCTTTCATCAAATATGTTTGTTAAATGATTGTCAGTTGATTGAACTTGCAATTGACAACGGAATGGTAGAGAACGTAGTTGAGAGTTTAACAAATGAATGGATTGAGAACGATGAAAGAATGGTAAGTGATGGATTAGAATGCATTTTGAGTAGTTTTAAGGTTTGAGAATGTTAAAAAGAAGGAAGAGAAAGAGGATTCACAAAGTAGTGTAGTTTAGAGAGACAGAAAGAGATAAGTGAGAGGATTGAAAGCAGAAATGGAATGATGAACATAGGAATGGTCAGAGTTAGAAGTCAAAGGACGAAAGAGATGGTTGAAGAGATTAAAAAGATGGTAGAGGAATAAAGAAGAAAGGAAGAGATAGAAATGATGGAAATGTGTGATATTTAAAGAATAAGAAAAAGAAAGGGGATGTTCTATACACAGAGAGAATTGAAAGATAAAAGATAAGATAAAAGATAAGAATAAGATAGAAGAAATAAAAATTAAAAGAAACAAATATAACAATTTTGATAATGAAAAAGAAAGAAATAAGAAATAGTTTCAAGAAATGAAATAGAAGAATAAAAAGAATAATCAAAAAGAATGAATAAAAGAGTAATAAGAAAAGGAGAAAATTCAGAAAGAAAATGAATCAAAAACAATAAAATAAGAAGAGATATAAATAAAATAAGAAGAAAAATGATGAATATAATTCATATAAGATAATAGATAATACAAGAAGAAAAAGAAGAATAAAAGAAATAAAGAAGAGATAAGAAAATAATAAAAACTAAAAAGAAATAAAAAAGAAAATTTATAGAAGAAAAAGAATAAGCAAATCAACACAAGATAATGAATAAATTTCTAACATAAGAAAGAATATAATTAATATCTTTTAATAATGTTCAAAAGAAGAAGAATTAAAATTAAATAAATTGTATTTCTTCAAAACATCAAAGAATAATTTAAATCACATAACATAAATATAAAAACAATAAATAAAAGATATAATCAATTAATAAATTATTATCTAAAAGAATAAGATAAATAAAAGAAAAATAAAAGAAAATAAATTGAACAATATAATAAATTAGTTTTTATTATTTTGTTCTTAAAATAAAAAATAAAAAAGTAAATTAAATAATCATTCTATAATCATTTATATTTGTTTATATTTTATATCATTTTATGCTAAATTGATATGAAATATAAATGAAACAGAAATGATATTTGTTTCAATGTAAGTATACATTTTTATTATTATTTTATTTATGTATTTTATTTTTATATATTTATATATTTTATTATTATGTTATTATTATTATATGTATATATATATATATATATATATCATCATATTATCTATATATTTTATATTTATCATATTTGTTTTATATTATTGTTATTTATATTTTATTTTATATATTAATATATTTTTATTTATATATAATTTATTATATATTAATACATTTCTTTATCTTATTTTCATTTTGATTATATTTTTATATTTTATATCTTTTTTCTCTTTATATTTATTATTATTATATTATATTTTATTGATTTTATTTATCTTTTCATTTATATATTTTATTTATTATTATATCATTTCTTTTCTCTTCTTATTTCTATATTATTTATTATTATTCATTTGATTTTTATATCTTATATCTATATCATATGAAAATAACAATTATTATTTATCAATTATCATATTACATATTATATATTAATCATATAACATTTATAACTGATTAATAATAAACACTGATAATAAATAATACATATAAATAAAAATTATAAAAATAAAAATGAATAAAATAATTTATATCAATAAAATAAAGTTAAATAATTTGCATCAATAAATTAAACGCTTTTTTTATTTCATATTTCTAATTTGTGTAATAAAAAATGCATCCATTATTTCATCATTATTTTCATCATTTATTATCTCACTTTGAATTATTCATTTTTATATTCTTTCATTTTATATTCTCAACATTCTACTTTTATTCTTTTCATCTTCTTCTACTTCCTATTTTCACTTTTTTTCTTTTATATCATTCTTTCTCTTCATTTTTCTATTTCTTTTTTCATTACTATT